TCATACTCCATCTTGTACTGTTTGTACTTTAATCTGAAGGTCCCTAGTATATAATGTGAAAGACACTTTTAATTAAGAAACTGCAGTATATACTTGCAACATGGATGCCTCTCCATCGACAAGTTGTGTAAAATGTGATTGAGTCAGCAGGGGAAGAAAAACTTTGATTGACTTTGGCTACATACAACTCAGATCTACTGTCGCAGTAGATCTCTACATGTACATGTACATGTAGCAGAGTGATATCTCATTATAACTATGTTTCTATCTAGACCATACAAATTCACATCAGATGAGTGCATACCTGGTTTCTTGTGACTGATCTAGATGCTACGGGTCTTTGTTGTCTGGATGGCTGGGAAACTGTTTGTCTGTTAAGTTCCAGCTGATAAGCTGCAGCATAGCACTGCTCACACAAACCACCTTCCTGCACTGCTGGTTTTCCACAGCCCACGACACACTTGCCAGTGTTAGCTCCAGAAGGTGGTAATTGAGCTGAGGTCACTTGACGTGGAAGGCCCATCTCAGAAGTGGTATACATTTGTGACATGGCACTTGAGTAAGCTAGTGTGTTTTGCCTTGGTGGCATACTTGATACTGTGGTAGCTGCATCAAACGGTCTCGTTGGCTGTTGCAAACTAACTGTAGGATTGACTTGCAAGGAGCCAGTGCTCAGACTTTCACATCTCTGACATAAGCCTCTTCCATTCTTTCTTCTTGGATTGCGACACATTGGATTGGAACAGTAATTATTATTATAGCCAATAGCACTTGTAAGTGCTGATGTGAGTTGATGACCAGAAGCAGCAGAAGCTGTTGCTGTCAAAGAAGCTGTTGCTGTCACGGAGCTCTGAGGAGGTGGAGGTACTGGAAAACTTGCCATGCCTGCTGTGGTCACTGAAGCATTTCTCGTCTGTGAAGATGGAGCAGTGTTCCTTGCATGACATTCTGCACATAGGTCAGACAAATGAAAGATTCCCTCGTTGCAGCAACCAGGAGAAGCACATAGGACACCTTTGTTCCTCCCACCTGTAGGTAACTGTTTCTTTCTCATGACATCCACTGGTGGTGATGGCTGATGTGGTCTAGTTTGCGTCGCACCTCCAACAGATCTTCCTTGAGTACGTATAAAGGAATGTATACAACGAGTGTAGCACTGAACGCACATACCATACAATGCAGGGACACCAGGAGATAGGCATCCTTGAATCTGGCATTGGTCTGGTGGTGTCGATGCTGTGGGACTGCTTGGTGGTAATCCAGTAGGGGACAGCACTCCCAAAGTGTTTTCCATATTAAGACAGAAGGTTCTGTAGCACCTGGAACACAAGTTATGATGTTCAGGCAAGCCAAAGAACTCACAGCCATTCACACTGTTTGAACAATGCTTTGCTGAGGCCAGACTCATGTGATTCATGCTTGCTGCCATTTCTTCGGCACTTCTCTCAGCTTCAGAGCACCTCTCACAAAGACCACCTCCATTAGGAATAGCTCCATACTTACATCCTGTGGTACGACATTTAACAGACCTCGCTGTAGGGAGGGTCATGGAAGGTGCCACGCTCGTAGTAGGTGCTGCCTGTGTTGTTACGATGTGTTGCCATGCACTGGTATTTGGTGCTTGTTGTGCTGTTACTGCAACAGGTTGCGGGGAGGTAATTGGCTGTCCTGTAGGAACATGTTGCCTTGGTTCAGAAGCAGGTCCCAAGGTCCTTAGAAACTCATTTAGGCATTTAGAGCAGCGGTTACCAGTTTCTGTGGATCCAAAGAAACTGCAGCCCTGAGTTTGACATTCCACAATCTGTAGAGCTGGCTGTTTGGTACCTGGTTGCAATTGAACATGAAGTTGACTGTGTCTTGATACTCGCTGGTGTTCCTCCCTAGCCTTCCTGAAGTACCCATCAATGAGCTCTTTCATGCAGCGTGGTTGCTCTGAAAAGTGCAGTTTTGCAACAAGAACTGTTTGCCTGGTTTCTCCTTGATTGCTTGAAAAGGGTACCTTTGCACAGTCTAAGTACTGGCGGACACGGTCACTTGCTAATGGTGCTTCATGATCGTAAAGGAAATGAACAGGTAATGGAGTTCCATCATATTTTACTAATGGCACAGCATGAATGCAATTACTTGAGCTGCTTGCTGTTGGATTGTTTTCAATGCCTAGATCCATTTTACCATCTTGAATACTGATAACTGCTGTGAAATGTCCACCTGCATAGCCAATTACCAACGGACTTTTCACACAGTCAACAGAGTCCCAGAGCAGAGGTAAATAGATACCTCCAAAGTTTATTGGAGAGTACGAATCGCCATAAGGTCCCCTCAGGGTGTCATCTGACACCACAATGATGGAACGACGCAGAATATTAGCAAGGACAAAGATGTGAATTTCTGCAAGGCTTCCAAACTGAGCACCATTTGGGCCACATGGGAACTCAGTCTGAGAAATGAGCCTGATAACCTCCTCCCATTCATGATTCCACTGTTCCTCTGTTCTGTCGTATCCACCAATCTGATGTAGTATCTGCTGTTCTTCTTCAGCTTTCCAACGGCCATGGTAAAATCCTAAAAAAAAGAACAAGGTATCGACTTTAAATGACTTTTTTACAATAAGTTGGCAAATTATTTTCTTTAGCCCTCACCAAATCAGGCAAGTGAGAATGAGAAGTTATTTGCCCAGTACTTTTTACGAGCCCTGTATTTCACGTATAACTAAGAGGTTCTTAATTACAATGGCATGCAGTGTTGACACAGGATAATTTTCTCAACATAAATCACTTTTGGTTTGAGTTAAGAGTTAATTTTGGTACAAGAGAAGGAAGCCTTTAGTGCATGACTTGAATTTCCAATTTTTCAGTATCCAGTCAACCATAGCCACTTTGTACATAGTTCCCATAGGAACTTCACTCAACAATAATATTTTGTTTTGTATGCTGAACAAAGCAGCACTTTTTTTTACTTCCTTATGAAATCTAAAACAAAAATGTTCATAATTATTTATATCTCAATTACCAGCAAAGAAGGACATTGAAAGATTAAGATTATGAAATATCACTTAACATATATTTCAATCTTTCCTGCATAGTCACCCCTGGGGGAGGGGTAACTTTTACATTCTTATGTAAGGGGCAAAGCTGGGCAAAAGCGACCACCAACCCCCTCCTCTCCCATTCCCTTTTTATAGACCTTAACTTACTTGTACCTTCCACGTCCTCCAGTAATGCTTCGTAGGCAGTTTTTCTCAGTGTTTGATATCTGTCGTTCACTGCCCACATGCCAATGGAAGCTGCATGCATAAGACAGTTTCCATCACCCAGAGTGTTCACCGTGACCATACGGCCCAAGGAGGAACACCAATTGAGTCTCCTCGCGGCTTCAAGTTCCCTGAGAATATAGCCGTCGACTAGAAAGCTGTACACGAATTTGCGGAACTCGATAGTGAAATCTTGAAATGACGTTAGCACGAACGAATACTTGGTCGACGAGTCGAGATAGCGGTGTTTCGTGACGTCCTCTGGCACCACGACATCTCTGCGTACGATTTCTCTCACGTCCAAAGCCGAGTCCAAATCGTTCAAGGATATGTTTCGTTCAAATAGATGACTGGCTGGCTGAAATGAAGCCATTGTTGTTGCTCGTAGATGGATCACAGATTGAGTCCGCTAACCAGAATCTTTTCTTCACAACCCTTTCACATTAAATGGATCCAGTCGATTCCAACATTAACGATTTCAAATTAAACATGAACGACAATCGGATCAC